AGGTGGACTGGCGGCAGAATGGAAGCCTGGCGCGGGAAATAAAAGAGATTCTGAGGCCGAGGGGAGACCGGAGAGCCCAGCCCACACCTCTGCTAGCTGCAGAGGGTCACCCCCACAGAGCAGGACGTTACACCGCGAGCCGAAAATAAAAACCCAACAGCACTTCATGACCAGCCCCCCGTAATTCTTGCGATTCATTAAGCATCCAATTAATGAATGCATGATTAATTAAGAGACACAACAAGGAGACACCCCCCGACATTGGAGTTCTGCATTCCCCAAAAAAGGCACCAGCCCTTGATCCAAAGCTCAACAGGGCACAGGCCTCTTGATGAATGATGCTTCATACACAGATATAAAAAAAAAACTAAAATCCAATTAAATGAAAGAAATAGCTTTCAGACATATTACAGTCTGCTGATGGAAACCTTAATTGCTGTAAAATGAAGCGCACTGCACTTCACTTGAGTTTGCTAACGCGTGATGCTTTCATATACAATTGTTGTCGTTTTTTTTACCTGAGTAGAAGTGCTGTTTGATAAAGATGGTATTGAAGTGACCGGAGGCCGTACAGTGTGAAATAAGTCTGAAAACACAAACACAGCAATTGTTAACAAAAACAGTGTCATCAAGTAAATGATAAATCAGGATGCTGTGCAAAAAACCCAAACACTAACCACCCGTTTATGTATCTTTTGGGTGCATCTTCACCAATAGGTAGGGAGCTCGACTCTAAACTTTCTTAAGGTTTTAAAGAGTGCTGACTGGAGTGTTCAAACATTTCACATAAAGTGAACCTGAAGTTGCATTCTTAATTAGAAATACCTCTCACACCAGATCATAATGATACCAAGAGCAATCAAAGTTGTCCATTACTCTCTGTTCAGTCTTTCCCTTTTTGGTAAAGAAACAAACATTAAGGAACTCACCTTGAAAAGGCTCAAAAGTATCCATGAAACCTAAATCTGGCTGGAGAGGAATCAATCCTGGTTGAATCATATCTGCATTTCCAGCATGTGCTGTGAGGAAAGAGAACACAGAAAAGCAGTTGCACTTTAAATATAAACAATTTTAAACAATGTTTTGCCGGTCAATACAACATGGGTGCAGCCCATCCTGTCCACCTCTAAAGTGTGACCAGCAGCTTCACGGGTGTGCAGATATGGCACATGACCTGTTAAATATCTGTGTGGCTAGTTGGTACAAAGCTCTCTAATGGAGAGGAATACAAGGACATCCAGCTGCTGTTGCAACCAGGCGATGAGCTGCACAGCGAACTAGACAGAGAACTGGGTAGACCAGACATAGGCATCTCCAAACTGAGAGGAGCAGGGTTGTGCGTTCTCCGCTAAGAGAAAAATCTACCCGACCCACAAGTAATGTAAGCCTTTCTGAAAAGAGTAGCATGATAAGAACACTGAATAGCTACTTAATATTCAACTAACCAAATTTACCAGTTTCTTCAGGTTATGATGCGTTTAATGGATAATCGTGATCACAGCTTTGCATAGTTATTTTGCCAAACTTTTATAGAAGCTGAAAATAAAAATGTGACCATGCACAGAAAGTACCCTGTTGATATTCAGATTCTAACACTCAAAGCACCACCCTGCAAGATCAGCCTTTTACCATTCCCAGCTCCACCAAGACAACCCCTCCCCCAGTTAACTTGCTGCCTTGCTCCAGATCTTCAACAAGAACCCGCCCCAAACCCCTGCCCCGCCCCCTGCCCCGCCCATACCGATCTCCCTGGGGTTCGGCCACGCCTGGTGCGAGGAGAGGGTGGAGAAGAGCGTGTCGGAGAACTCGGACATGAGCATGTCCATGTCGAAGAGCTGGTCCATCTCCATGGGCACTGGAGACTCCCGGCTCTTGCGGCCGGACGCCCGGGCCGCCGCCGCCGCCTCCTCGTCCTGACAAAGGGAGACACGGAAAGTGTCCGGACAGCACTCTCCGAACAGCGAAAACTGCTCCCCGGCTCCCTTCGGGTTAAAAATGCACAGCAGCCAGTTAGCGAACAGCATGCAAGACCGCGGACAGCCCGACCAGCGGAAACAGTGCGCTGCACACCTGCGACAAGAGGACAGCGGGGTGTCCTCCCACCCTCCTCTGTTTTCCAGCGTTTTGGATTTACGTGGAACAAAAACACAACGCTGCATGAATCTGCAGTATTTTTTAACCACAATACTCAAATTAAAATTTTAGTTTCCCCGTTTTGAAATAAACTAATTGATTAGAGTTGCATCAGGATACTTACACAATTGATGAACATGACATGAACTTAAACCTCTTAAGTGAATGTTTACAAACAGACAGGATCCTTGGATCGCTGGATATCAATTACCTAAAGTGATGGGATATATACAGAGCCCACGCTGCTGATCGAGTGTCTCGGTTTCCCCTTACGCAGTACATGAACCAATGCAACCATGGCGAAAGCACTGACGTGCCTGCAGCAGGCTAGGCAAACTCCAGTAGAGTGTTTCAAGGGCTCCTTTCGAATTAAAGCTGTTTTGGTTATGAAAAGCTAAAAACCCCAAAGCAGTGCACATGTATACTGTTGTGTAAGGGCAAAGGTTTATTCTAAACTAGAGATTGAAAACTTGGGATCAAAATCTCATTTGCTGTGAGAGTTACCAGTATCGTATAAAAACAGCTTTCATTTCCAATTTTTTAGCAAAGCCATACCAAGACAAGTGAAATACTTTAGGGCAGCGGTGCTCAACCAGTCTTCTCCCACAAACATTCTGGGGGACCCCATCATCTGCTGGCCCAGTCACATCACTGTAATCTGAACCCCCAGAGCTCTCTCCCTGTCAGGCCCTTCACACACAAGCAGGCCCCAGTT